TACTACAGAAGCTACGTTGTAATTAGGTATTTAGTTTATTAGTATTTAGGTCGTGGCCGAAGGACGAGGTCGTACTACTGAGTTTTTATATATATATATATATATATATATATATACATATATACAAACAGTGTATTCTTTAGAAAGCAATGAAACAATATGATAAAACTGATAGTTCCTTAATTATTACCATTGGACCAAGTTCAAACAAGCTGAAACTGATTCACACTATTATACTACCTAAATAACTCTTCACAGTTAGGATGACACAGTCATATCCAAAAACTTTTTCAAGTTGCTATCAAACCAAGACCTGTCTACCTGAAGTGTGAAACAAGTAGAAGCATTCCTCATGTCAAATGATGTTTTCCACTGTCCTTCACCCACTTTCAATGTTCAAGGCACCACTAGATGTAAGGCTTTGCATTTACACAGTTCCATGGATTAAGAGCATTTTGTGGGCCTGTCTAAGACATCCAATATCATGGAGCTCCCTGGACACAGTGATGTATTGGTTTGCAGTCACGACCTTTCACTTTAGTTGTAGGTTGTGGGTTTAGTTCCTAGTGTATAGTTCAAATTTATGGCACAGTTCAAAGTTTCATAGGCTTAAGATTATTAGATGGCCAGGCTAATATACCATATTCTGTGATTTTCCATTTCATCAGTACATTACCTACAGTGAACTTCAGTATGAACAGATGGGTTATAATGACTCAGACCACTTAGCATGCAACAGCCCTCCACCAATAGGAGCATGACACAATTCCCACACAGCTGACTCCCTCTATGCAGCTTAGCCCATAATCACTTCTCAATTAGCACTCATGGTGTTAAGTTTTTTTGCTCACTTTCCTGTACAGAATTTTTAATCAGTTCCTTGTTTTGTTTTTATGTTCACTACACTTGTGGTCTGCAATTTTTGTTTCAAGTGTTAGCATTGCATGTCTTTTATTCTAATATGTGATCCTTTGGAGCTCCCTGTTAGAGTTTTCTACTTCCACCCATAGTTTCCATTAATTCTGAGTTTCATGTTACAACTACTACCACTACTCTACCTACTTCAGTTAACCTTCCTTTGACTACAGTGGTTTTGGATCCACAATTGTTGGTGGAAGATGTTACGGCTGTGGTTCCACGGGAGTTGGCTATCTTCATGCAGGCTCCTGATTGGCCTGAGAATTATCCTATCATGCTTTGTTCATGGGTACCTGAACAAAAGGATGATGATTTTGACAACATGTTTACTCCCCCTTCCAATGCCACACAGTTACATTTAGCTCCAATGGAAGTACCTGGGTCTCCTTCTCCTCTCCTGAAGTTAATAAATCAGGTATGTTTATGTTTTGTCCCTCATTTCTTTTGACTTCCCCCCCCCCTCTCTGTTAAATAAGACACGCTCAAGCCAATACCTTATTCTCCCCCTTTTCCGGATATTGGGATTCATGTCAATAGGTTTTTGGACCAATTATGTTTGGTGGTCAGTATGTCTTGACCCTCACAAAATTTGGAAGCCTACTCTCTGGCATTCTATAAGTCTGTGTTTCCCTTTTTGGACTACCAGAAGTTAGATTCTCTTCTGCCTCTGTGGAGTTTGGATCTCAATACTTTAGTAATGTTTTCCCAACCTCAATATTCCCATAACCACCTCATGTTATTCTTTCTTCTTTGTTCCCTTTCCTCAATTCACCTTCTGTCTGAGGTTCTTCATCATTCTCCCGAGGGGTTTTCAATGGAGATTTGTGTCCTGCTTTTATCCATTCTTGCACAGTTGTCCTCTTTGACCCTTTCCCTCCAAAGATGGCTCCTTTGTTGTTGGAATCTCTTGGGTCAGGATGCTCTTCTGTCCTATATACATTTACCCCAACCTCTTTACAGGACTTGCACAAGATGTCTTTGGGGGTCA